GTTTCTCAAGCAATCCAAACTAGGGCAATGGATACCATACAGCGCGGTCAAGAATCAAAGCAGTCTTTATGACGTGAAATTCACTGCTGTGCTCCAATGCAATGAGCGGGATTGCAAAGACCAAAAAGAGTTCTTCAACCCTGGAGATATAGAGGAACAAAGTCAACAGCTACGATCCCGCTTCGTGTTTGACATCGACGGGAATTCATTTAGTGGGCGATACTACACGCTGTTACAATCGCGGAGCGTTGTGCTTAAGCAGACGATCCTGCGAGAATGGCATGATGAGCGCTTGATACCATGGGTGCATTACATCCCTGTCAGCCTCTCCATGGACGAGCTGCCAGAAACTATGCGATATCTAACGAGCCATGAAGATGGTAAAAGGAGAGCGAAGGAGATAGCCGATGCGGGTCGCGAGTGGCATGGGAAGGCGCTTCGAAGAGAGGACTTTACCATCTATCTATACCGCCTCATGCTGGAACTGGCCCGAATTATGGACCCGAATCGTGAAGTAGAATAATCAACAACTTGTTTCCTCAAACTTTACCTGAGTACAAGTGATCCTCCAAGTACATGATGTCTGGCAAAGCGTCTTTGTATGATGCTGTCACAAAATATAAATCCCATCCCCTATAACTTCTTCATTTCGATTACTCAAACAAACAATCCCTTTACCAACCCCTCAACAGCATCATAGGCCTTTCCTTCCTTCTGCCCACCCGTTGCCCGCTCTGTGATGACAGGAATCTGATCTTTGCCTACTTTGTAATTCCTCAAGTCACTATCCAACCCTAGATCCTTGACCAGCCTCAAGATTTCGTCTCCAACCTTTTCAGCATCAGCCTTGGCATCGCCAGACGCCGACTCTCCGATGAATGGAAGCAGGCGAGCTACCTGCTCTGCTGCAGCGGGGTCTTGAGCCTTGAGCTTGACTACGTGTCCCAGAGTGAGGCATGATGTGATGCCATGAGGAATACCATAGGGAGAACCCAGCGCGTAGCCTAGGGCATGAGAGAGGCCGAGACCGCCTTTGATGTTGTAGCCCAAAAATCCCAGGGAAGCAAAAGCGGCAAGCTGCAACCTTGTAATAACATCCTCGTCTTTGGGGTTTTGTTTGTATTTTGGTAGGGCTTCGAAGAGTGTAGCTGCAGACTGTAGAGTCAACCATCTAGCGGGCATCTCAGTGGCGGTGGGATGATACAGTAGCTCGATGGCGTGGTCCATGGCGCGGAGACCAGTTGACATCCAAAGGCGTTCAGGGGTATGTAGGGCGAATTTGGCATCGTAGATGACGACGTGAGGGACGAGTTCTTTGGCTCGAACACCAGTTTTCACGCCGTCAGATTGTGTGTAGCCGGCCATCAGGGTGCATTCACTTGCACTTAGGGTTGTCGGGATGGCGATGTGGTAAAGGTATTTTCCTGTCTTTTCGTTCAGCCGGTAGCTGATGGCTTTTGAGCTGTCGATTGGGCTTCCGCCACCAATGGAGATTACGGTATCGATGCTTTGATCCTTCTTCACAAGGTCGGTTGCTTCGTCTAGTTGGGCGACAGGCGCGTGTTCGCCTATCTTTGAGAAGGTACCTGCATGTTTATCGCCCAGGAGCGCTTCAACTTGCTTCACCAGAGGCGTCTTGCTGGCCAGAGAGTTTCCAGTAATGACAAAGGCTTTGCTTGACTCTTTTGGAAGACAGGAGAGGAGATGTTGTTTCACGGAGTCAGCACCATAATGCAGTTTCTGGAGCTGAGTAGGTTGCCAGAGGCCAGATAAGGGGTGATTCGTTGCGTCTGTCATCTTGGGCTTGGCCTTCGTAGAGCTATATCGAATACTACAGGGAGGTTGGATGTGTCCACCAATCAATGCTTTGCTGGCAAGTGTAGGATGTGAAAAGGTTCTAAATAAAGAGTATAGAGATGCGATGGTAATGGATCTAGTGGTGTTGGATCCGCGTGCGAAGAGGAGAGTGTGCTTTATAATGCCACGAATTGGAATCATAGGAGGTGGTTTGCTACAAAACTGACTGTGTATTATTAAAGAACGGAAGCCGCGGATTAGTAATGACGTAAGAGTTTAGCGGGTCGAAATGATGAAGCAATCCCGAGGTTCAGATAGCGGGGCACATCATATAGTAAAATCCAAAATGATTACTTGTACAGGGCGACTGTTAGTCGGCAATGAACGACGTCACTTTGTAATCGACGGTAATGAACATTTCAAATCGTAGATTGTAGAGCGGAGAAGTAAGCGAAGTGCTACCATCTCGCGTCTCTAAGCTATGGTACACTCATTGACTCCGCCATTATGTCGTCCCTTCCACATCATGTCCTGACCACCAGTGGATATCACTCTTTCGTTATTCCGACGTGTACCAAGGATCCGTAAGGGTAATAAAACAAACGCTAATGTGAGAAGAGAAATCGTCGGAAAATATGATACAGAGATGCTCAAACATGTGTAGGGACATGTACACGTCTAGACGTGACCTAAACCAGACCAATCATGACAGGATGCAAGACGCCTGCTTTTGGACGTAAAGAAGCCATCAACGAGAAAGACAAAACCAGTGCTGAACGATCAAAGCATTTACTGCTTCTTCTCGCCCTCACCCTCAGGCTGCTGAGGCTGCTCGCTCTGGTTTTGGCTCTCGGAGCGGGCCTTGTGCATCTGGTCGAACAGGCTCAAAGAGGCGTTCTGGAGCTCGTCGGTCTTCTCCTTGATCTCGGCGGCGGTGGCGGTGCCCTCACCAGACTGGCTCTGGGCGATGAACTCGCGCATGGATGTGATCTTCTCCTTGATCTTCTCGGCCTCAGCCTTGTCGAGACGGTCCTCGAACTCCTTGAGGGCCTTCTCGGTGTCGTTTACGACGCTGTCAGCGCGGTTGGCGGCCTCGATGGCGTTCTTGCGCTCCTTGTCTTGCTCAGCGTACTGCTCGGAGTCCTTGACCATGTTCTCGATCTCAGCGTCAGAAAGACCGGATCCAGAGGCGATGGTGATGGACTGGTCCTTGTTGGTAGACTTGTCCTTGGCGTGAACGTGGACGATGGAGTCAGCGTCGATGTCGAAAGTGACCTCAATCTGGGGTACACCACGGTGAGCTGGGGGAATGCCAACGAGCTGGAAGTTACCGAGGAGCTTGTTGTCACGGACGAGCTCACGCTCACCCTGGTAGACCTTGATCTCGACAGCGCTCTGGAAATCGGCAGCAGTGGAGAAGACCTGGGACTTCTTGGTGGGGATAGTGGTGTTACGGTTGATCAGGCGGGTGAAGACACCACCGAGGGTCTCGATACCAAGAGAGAGGGGAGTGACGTCGAGAAGGAGAAGGTCGGTAACCTCACCAGCAAGGACGGCACCCTGGATAGCAGCACCGATAGCAACAGCCTCATCGGGGTTGACCGACTTGGCGGGGTCACGACCGAAGATGCTCTTGACGGACTCGGTAACCTTGGGCATACGGGTCATACCACCAACGAGAATGACCTCAGAGATATCGGTAGCCTTCAGGTTGGCGTCCTTGAGGGCCTTGCGGACGGGCTCAACGGTACGGCTGATGAGGGGGTCCATCATCTTCTCAAGCTGAGAACGGGTGAGCTTGGTGTTGATGTGCTTGGGACCAGAGGCGTCGGCGGTAATGAAGGGCAGGTTGATGTCGGTCTGGGAGGAAGAGGACAGCTCGATCTTGGCCTTCTCGGCGGCCTCACGGATACGCTGGATAGCCATGCGGTCGCTGTTCAGGTCGATGCCCTGCTCCTTCTTGAACTGGTCGACAAGGTGGCGGACGAGGGTAATGTCGAAGTCCTCACCACCAAGGTGAGTGTCACCGTTGGTAGACTTGACCTCGAAGACACCAGCCTGAATCTCGAGAATGGAGATATCGAAAGTACCACCACCCAAATCGTAGACAGCTACGACGTTGTCGGTGGCCTTGTCAAGACCGTAGGCGAGAGCGGCAGCGGTGGGTTCGTTGACGACACGGAGAACGTTGAGACCAGCGATTTGACCAGCGTCCTTGGTAGCTTGACGCTGGGAGTCGTTGAAGTAGGCGGGGACGGTGACGACGGCGTTCTTGACGTTCTTGCCCATGTATGACTCGGCAGTCTCCTTCATCTTTCCGAGGACGAAACCACCAACCTGGGAAGGCGAGTACTTCTGTCCTTGGGCCTCGAGCCAGGCATCACCGTTGGTGTGCTGGACGATCTTGTATGGGACCTGCTGGATGTCGCGCTGGACCTCAGCATCGGTGAACTTGCGACCGATGAGACGCTTGGTAGCGAAAAGAGTGTTCTCTGGGTTGACGACAGCCTGGCGCTTGGCGGCGATACCGACGAGACGCTCGCCCTCCTTGGTGAAACCAACGACGGAAGGTGTTGTTCGACCACCTGAAGAAAGAATTAGCGTCTTGATCGAATTGGGTGAAAAATCATTTCTGACGTACCCTCAGAGTTCTCAATGATGCGAGGGACCTTGCCCTCCATGACAGCGACGGCAGAGTTGGTGGTACCCAGGTCAATACCAATGACCGAGCCCTTGACCTTCTCCTCGCCGCCCTCAGCATACCCTCGCGCAAACATGGCGGGAGCCCTGAATGCGGGTGTGCGTCGCGCCGCCGAAGCCGCACGAGGCAAAAACTATGATGAGGTCAGAGAATGTTGACGAGCATAATCAGAAAGGCAATTACTTACAGTCCGTGATAATCTTGAGGACAACATTGTGAATGTGTGAGACGCTGCGTGAGGGGATGCAAGCGACAGAAGATTGGATGTAGAGATGATGAGTGGGAGGGTGGATGGTATATATGATGTAGTGATGGAAGCTTTGACGATGGACAAAATTCTCGGAGAAGATTCTAGCTCGTTTTGGTGTAAAATCGCCGCCCGAGGTTCCGCTGTAAACGTCTGTGCTTCCGAGTTGCTACGAACAATTCAATTGACCATGCGACTTGACTCGGAATGGTGAGGAGGCGAATGGCAGATTTTGCCAGTGGCAGGTGGTGAATGTTGCATCATGGCGCCATGACGCCTTCTGGCCTTTGTGCTATGACTTCCACCATGAGTCGCCGTGTTCAAGGCTTGGCGCATATGGCTCGCGTGTGGGGAAGATGCTTGACCATAGTGACGCCTGGAACACCTCGAAACACTGCGACTCTATCAACCCTCGCTCCGACACATGCAACGCGTGCTAGAATAGACCACAAATCACAACTACCGTCCTCCTCTCGCCTGCAAACCCATCTGCACTGTATTCCTGCCGGGGCCCCTTGGACTTCTCCGCCTAGACGACTTGTGACGTAGATTGCTACCGTCCCAGAGACATGCAGCCTTCTCCGACCTGACCGCAAACTATGGCCGTCGATGACTCCCTGAGCAGAGATACGGATACCTTTGTGTTGGCTCAGAAGGCTTACTACCCTACCAAGATCCCTATCGCGTGAGCGCTGGCCAAAGACAAGCACACGGTGCGTCAACGCTGACGAGTGCAGACACTATCAATTGCGCCATTTCATCTCCTGCCCTGAACCCGATCTCCTCTACTATGCAAGCGGCGCGGCCGTCTACTGCCTCAATGCGGCCACACGAACCCAGGCACATGTCACCACATTGCCCTGGGAAGCGCGCTGCACTGCTTCCGGCTACGGCTATGTCTGCGTGGGTGGAGAGGAACATGGCAACTTCGCCGCCATCCAGGTGACCGGCTTTCCTCCGACAGACCCGTCCCGTGGCGACGCCTCGTTGCCCCTGGACTTCGAGCACCGCCTGCCTCGACCGCCCCTACTAGGCGCTGCATCGCGCGTACGTCTCGAGAAGATCGGAACCGATATCGTCAACTCCATATCCATACACAAACTGCCGGGTGAAAGCGAGGGTCAGCATGACATCGTCGCAGTTCTTACCAACAATGACAAGACGGTGCGCGTCTATTCGTTGACTCAAAATCTGGAGTTGGCGGTGCTTGATTTGCCCTTTGCAATGAACCACGCTGCCATCTCGCCCGATGGCCAAATGTTGGTAGCTGTCGGCGATGCCCCTATTGGCTACTTCTTCGAGCGCACAAAGTCACCTAAGCCTGGTAATAAGGCACCTGAGGGGCATATACAATCAACACCTCCAGCATGGGAATTACTGAAGCAAGTGACTCTCTACCGCCCCGCACATTCGCATGCAGACGGCTACTTCACTACAGCTTGGTCACCATCAGGAAGCCTCTGTGCTGTTGGCTCAGAATGCGGATACATTACTGTTTTTGACGTCCAGTTGCTGAAGCTTGTCGAGTATGGTGAAGATGCAATTCTACAGATGATAAGTTCCACGAGACCAGACAGCCGAACCGGGCCCGGCGCGGTACGGACGATGCACTTTTCACCGGCACCATGGGATTTCCTCGTTTGGAGCGAAGACCAAGGTAGAGTGTGCATCGCGGACTTGCGAGCTGGTCTCAAGGTCAAACAAATCTTGAACCTGGATCCAAAAGAAGAAGGTCTCGAGACCGTCGAAATAGCCGACTTTGATCTCAGTCTTAGCCCAGAAATGCACGAGCTTCGCAGAGAAGCAGATTTCATCCGAGGATATCGACGTGCTTTGGATTCGGAAGGGAACACAGCTGCTATGAATGCTGCGAATGAGTATTTCCAAGCGGACTCAGAGCGGCAGAGACTTCACCGGCGGCTGGGTGTCGTAGAGTCGGACAACGATCCACTTGGCTTAACGGCACGCGAAAGACAGGTGCTTAGTGCTTTACGGACCAGTCATAGACAGCGTGAAGAGATCCAGGAGGCCCGTGGGCAGGGGATAACGCCCCGGAGTATCAACTATACAACTTCTGAGCAACTCAACACTGTACCGTATGTTACGCACCCGACTGCTGTAGTGAGACTTGACTAACAGCATGTAGGGAGCCCACTGCCCGAGAGGTCGCTGACGCTATGGCTCGTTTCATGGCAGAGAGGACTGGGCAGGCGCACTCACGCAACTGGCTCCAAGAGCGCACAACTCCTCATCGGCGGACTTCAGTCATTGTTTCAATAAACGAAGGCACAGTCAATGCACCTGCTACCCTCACCAATATTACTGACACTGCTCTCACGCGTTCGCCAAACACGGTGCCTGCACACGCGCGTCGCGTGAGCAACGAGATAGTAGCCTCGACAGATGAAGCATGGCGTACTGTTGAAGAGGCACTTAGTGCTGAACAACAACGCGCTACGACTCGTGGCACTACTGCACATGCGGCTGCCACTGACAGCAATCCCACTGCACCCGAACTCCGCAGCGAGCTTCGTCGTATCCGTCAATTGACGCAGGCGCGTGAGCGGCTCCGCATCACGCGTGCTGGCCAGCCCATCCTTGAATCCTATGAATTCAGTCTGGGCCTGCGCGGGTCAAGCCGCACGACGCACGATTCCAGACTAGGCGTACGGACGGCGGGACTGGCCATGAGCCAGGATGGACGCACTCTGTATTGTGCAACGGAGGAAGGCATTTTCGAATTCAAGATGAACCTTCATATCAGGAAGTCGTTTCCTGCTGTCAATCCCCGATGATGGACTCTTTCCGGCGTTACATTGGCTCCAGAATGGCTTTTTTACTGCGTTCTTGTTTAACGTTCCTGCATTTCTCAAGGCACTTCCGGGACGGTATGGCATTTGGTTCGGCGAATAGGTTCAGGCGCACAGCGTACTTGATGGGAAGGAAGGTAATTTTTTTCTGTAATGTCAATTTTGTCCAAGTAGGTATACCCGCATATCAAATAGTCACGAGCATCCTGGTATTTTGGACCGGTGCACTTTTTTCGCTTGTTCGTGGGTGATTGTCTGTGGATTCTTTGTCTCAATCTGGGGTAGAGGCCCCCCTGTCGTCCGCAAGTCGGAGGCGAAAACACGCGGGCGATGTTCGGAGCAAGGGAGAACTGCCGATTTGTCCTCGATGGCGCAATTCCAGCGGTGACTCCCCACAAGATGGGGCTAAGCTACTCGTGCGCACGTCTTCAATGACATCTGTTTATGCTTTTGACCTTTGTACTCATACACCCATTACCTGAATTCTCGCAATTGTCCAGACCGCTTCGCCGTGAGTCTTGCTTTGTTCTACATACAACTGTTTCGTCATCGCCTCAACGCGAAGCTCGAAACTTGTAAAACCCCGCCACTCGGCTTTCACCAAGTCCGCACCGCGGACACACCATCATTACAATGGCCGGAGAGAGCTCTAAGAAGGCCAATGCCGCTGGCAAGGCTGCGATCCCGCTCGACATTGACGGCCACAACCTCCCGCCGTCGCCCGCGCCGAGCTCGCCCCGCAATGGCAGGAAGTATGCGCTCATGACAGAGCTGGTCTACACAGAGAGCACCGACCAGTACAATGCCAGCTCTGTGCCCATCTATCAGGTATGCGACACTTCACCGTCATCAGCATTAATCGAGTCAAGGGCTAACATGCGTAGTCGGCAACCTTCAAGCAGGAGTCCGCAACCGGAGGCGGCGGCGAGTACGACTACACACGATCCGGCAACCCTACACGAACACATCTCGAAAGACACCTTGCTAAGATCATGAACGCGAACCGCGCGCTTGTCGTCTCATCTGGCATGGGTGCGCTAGACGTCATCACCCGTCTCCTACGACCGGGCGATGAAGTAGTGACTGGCGACGACTTGTATGGCGGAACAAACCGATTGCTCAAGTACCTTTCGACACACGGAGGCATCATTGTCCACCACGTCGATACCACAAATCCGGAAAAAGTACGCGAGGTCGTGAACAACAAGACGGCCATGGTTCTGCTTGAGACGCCTACAAACCCTCTGATCAAGATTTGCGACATCCCTGCCATTGCCAGCATCGCTCACGCCGCAAACCCTACCGCAGTGGTCGCTGTCGACAATACCATGATGTCGCCTATGTTGCTCAACCCGCTTGACCTTGGTTCTGATATCGTTTACGAATCTGGCACAAAATATCTCTCGGGTCACCACGATCTTATGGCAGGTGTCATTGCCATCAACGACTCTGCGCTTGGAGATCGACTCTTCTTCACTATCAACGCTTCTGGCTGTGGCCTGTCGCCTTTCGATTCATGGCTGCTGCTCCGCGGTATCAAGACCCTGGGTGTTCGCATGGAGAAGCAACAGGCAAACGCTATGCGTGTTGCCACGTTCCTCGAATCCCACGGATTCAAGGTCCGCTACCCTGGTTTGAAATCACACCCCCAGTACGATCTGCACTGGAGTATGGCACGTGGCGCTGGCGCTGTCCTGTCCTTCGAAACCGGCGACGTCACTATCAGCGAACGCATCGTCGAGAGCGCTAGACTTTGGGGCATTAGTGTCAGCTTTGGCTGCGTCAACTCCCTTATCAGCATGCCTTGCCGTATGAGTCACGCAAGCATTGATGAGAAGACCAGGAAGGAGAGGAACATGCCTGAAGACATCATCCGACTTTGTGTTGGTATCGAGGACCCTGAAGATCTCTTGGATGATCTGAGCCGCGCTGTAAGTTTTGCCTTGTCGAAAAGTTTTATTCCATCTCTAACATGTGTATAGCTTGTACAAGCTGGCGCGGTGAACATCACCACCGAAGGCTTCCAAGCCCTGGCCGCAGAGGCCCCTGCCTCAAGCCAGCCCACAGAGGCCCCTGCTCCAGCAGAGTCATAGACATCTGTTCCCATTAGTCACCGCTGTTCTGCTTGCCTAGTAGATTAACGTGATACCCTTTTTGCACACGTCGACAGACATGTCGGCTTCACTTCCGAACTCTCTCTGACCCAGTCACCTCTGTCATTGTCTTCCTCGAGAAGCCAATGTTAACGTGATATTCGTCCGATTACATTAGATAAGCATAGCTACTGCTAGCGGGAGTTCTTGTGGAATAAAAAGATCTCCTTGTCGTTCAATGAAAACATCAACTTATTAGCTTTCATCCAACCTCTGGTACTCCTAGTATTTCGTGTATTGTCAAAACCATGGCAAATTCAATCATGTGCTTCAGGATGAAAAAGTCTTCTGACTCGAACATATGCATATTGCTGAGATCATGCCTCACACTCCGACGGTAGTCCGATGAATTTCCAGATTCGTGCCAAGCATGACGCCACGTGCTTGTAGGAAGTCCCGGAACCCCGTACCTTCCGACTTATAGCACAACGCATCTCAGCTACCTCACAAGTTGGCTGATTTGCATCGTATTTCAATTTACTCAGAAGTTCAGAGTCACCTCTAGTTCTGCAGCTCCTAAACCACGGCTATCTGCCGTCCCCCAAAACTCATCCCAAACTTAGTGTCCCGCGGTATTACAAGGTGTACCTGCACGTCTGAAACAAGCCTCAGGCACGCCATCAGACTCGCCACCGCAGAAGAGAAGAAAGGCGCCATCCATCCCTGTATTACCCCAGACTTCGGATTCGGATCACGTCTTGTACTGAGGGCGACAAGCGAGGCTCCAATACAGTGGAGATGATGTGGATTTGACGTCTCTACATTGACAGCTGCATTGTAATCCTTGCATGACTGTGATAGCAGAGTAAACATTTAATCGAAAATGGTACGGTTCCTAGATCTTCCCCGCGAATTGCGCGATGCGATATATACAGAGCTGCTTTTATCCTGTCGACCTTCTCCAAGTCTGAAGAACACACAATCAGCAACTGGCTGGTGCCGCGTACGGGAACCCGAAGGGCCGTGGGAGAATGGCTGTTTAATCGCATCACAGGGCACACCGCCCACCTGTGCTAGCTTCCTGGCATGCAACCGTCAAATTAATGAGGAACTGATGCAAATCATTGCAAGAGCGAACCGGAAATGGGGGCTTGCTGCATGCATGGACTGTGTGGAAATTGATGGAACACATTACTTCACTTGGCTTTCCCTGCCGCTCGTCAGGACAAAAAAGAACAAGTCGCCCAGAAACGGAGATGAGGATAGGCACGTGTGGCTTAGTGGGTTCCTATCAAGCTGGGCGTCTCTGTTTCTTGGTGGTGGAACGTATCACCACGTTGTCGGCAACGTCGCGAAGACACCAGCCTACACAACGAGTATTGAGCAGCTACGGATAGACATTCGCCTCTTTACACCAGCCAAGACAGGCGGACTCCCTCCTCATGATCAAACTGCATGGGAGATATGCGCAGTCCTCAAGCATATATTCGAGCAAGGCCCGGACCCCATTCATAGGAGTCGAAAGGTAGCATTTATTGACGAAGTCGTCTTGAATTTGCTGCCTGCATGCCTATTGGGCAATACTTCCCAGACTTCCAGTCCAGATGGTAGCAACGATATGGATCACGATATATACTTCAAACCAGAGAGCCCTATTGTCATTATCAGCCACGAGTTAGTCAACATCTGGCAAAAGATCTGGACTGCGAACGACTTCAACACGGTTGATTATCAGGCACGGTACTATCGAATGCTACTAGAGAAGATCAACAGAGTCCGCGTCTGTGTAGATGGAAAGACTTTCAAGACGAGAGAGTTGGCTGTCGAGCTCGAAAGAGGAAGAGCCGAGATGAGGAGAATCGAGAGGAGGTAGGCAGGCAGGCGCCGCTAGAATAGCTAAGGGCTTTCCTTCTCTGATCGGAGAGATTCGTAGCGGTGTGGGAACAGTGATCGAGCGTCCGGAGATGAAGCGACTGGGTAAAGGCTCTGTGCGTTTTCGATGTGTCTAGAAGAACGCGCACGAAGCAAAACCGTTCTGTAGCTTTGTGTAATGCACACGTCGTGCTTGACATGTTTAATGCTGCGGGTTCATCGAGACGAGGTCCCATAGAGTCAAGCTAGCCTTCCTGTTCCGCGTCGCTGCGGATGCGGCGTCGTAGCTAGCTTGCCGCGGCCCTCTTGCATGCCAATCTCCAAATTGCCCGCCTGAGTAGTTTCCCGATGCTCTTGAAATTGCTGACGAGGCTTTTTCACGTTGAATCGTTCGCGAGCGTTCCCATTCGTCGACATTGTCAGGGGTAATCTTAGCCTCGGTTCGGCACGCCCTAGTCTGGACCTTCCACCCCAGCATCGACGAGAACATTTATCCTGACACAAAGTCTTGTCGATCGAACACGAATTGTCCGCACCAGCACGTCCTGTTATGCAGCCGTCTTCACACCAGCTATAGTGTTCCAAAGATCGCTATCGATAGCGGTCCGATCATAGTGGCGGATAACAAGTCAAGCTATGAGGCGTGCCAGCGCTGACTACATCGCATCCAACACTTTCAGTGGCGCGCTTGGCACGGCGGAATACGTTTCGTGAAACAGGGCCTCCGCGTCACGCCCCTTGCTGCTTCAGGCTGCGCCCCTACCGTCATTCGTCGCCATGCTCGACTTTACGAAGAGACTCCACTGCACCCCACACTCGATTGGCCAGACCGCGTCTGTCTGGCTCAGGGGCACAATGTGCAAGACGGCCCCTGCATGCCAACGTGTGTCGCGGATCGCATGTTAGACCATGATGGCGCTGCCAAAGGTGCGGGAGCGAATCCCCGTGGGCGCCATGGGTTTGCGAGGATTTTTTGTGCGAGGTGCAGATACGCGTGTTTTATATTTAAACATTGAGTTGGAGATCCTTACTCCTGACGGGACGATTTGCTCGCTTGATTCATTACTTACATACTCTTGCTTCTGTCATTCCTTCCCTCTCTTTATTTCTTATTCCCAGTCTCTACAAAATACTCCATCATCTCTACACACTCGCTAGCATTGACCATATACTGTCCTTTCAAAAGCATTACTCTCAACTGCTGGACGGTTGCTTACTCTAAACCTGAGACTCACCGACACCATGGCTGCGTCCAACGCTTCGACTACGAAGACGCTTCGGCCAGATAACATCGAAATACCACCTTCGACAAGCGGTTCAGCCAAGCCAAACGAGGAGTTTGACGGACCAATATCACCGCGGTCATGGCGACACCGTACTGTTACATACCAAGTCCCCTCACGAAGGCAGACTAATGGTAGCTTGGATGCTGAGGACTACTTTGTGGGTTCTTCACAATTGCTGCAGACTCACAGCTTGCTAACAGTAAGCAATAGGTTGGTCCTCGCGACTTGTCCAAGCACAGCAAATGGCCGTACTTTATGCGAATGCACGGTTCCGTCTTTCCCAAGATGATAATACCACTCACAGTAGTGACTCTGTGGTCTACCTTGATTACATGCGTCTCGCAGTTCATTTTTGAGCTTAAAGTCAGCACACTCCTTCTGACCGTGCTCGGTTTCGTCGTCGGTCTTGCTATTTCCTTCCGAACAAGCACTGCGTATGAGCGATACACCGAGGGCCGAAAATACTGGAGTCAGTTGATCTTCGTCAGTCAGAATATGGCACGAACAATCTGGTACCACACTGCTGAGCGCGAAGGCGAACTTGGAAAGGAGGACCTGCTCAACAAGCTCTCTGCGCTCAACCTGCTTAACGCCTTTGCCTGCTCTGTAAAGCACAGGCTCCGCTTCGAGCCTGGTATCGACTACCCTGATCTTCGCGACCGCATCGAATACCTGGATACTTTTGCCCGCGCTGCTGACCTCGAAATTCCCAAGCCGGGCGACAAGAAGAAGATCAAGGCCGTTGGCGAATACCTTGGTGTTACATTCGCCGAGTCCAACCCCCGCAAGAGGATTAAGCGTTCCAAGAAGCCTCTTGGTAACTTGTCTCTTGAGATTCTGAACCACCTTTCCTGCTACGTCCACAGCATCATCGACAATGAAACGCTCAAAGTCGGTCTCTACCAGAACCAAGCTATCACCGGTGTTGTACAGCTGAACGAGGCCCTTACTGGTATGGACCGTGTCCTGCAAACTCCTCTACCTATCGCCTACTCTATCGCCATCTCGCAAATCACATGGGTTTACGTTATGATGTTGCCTTTCCAACTTTGGGATGACCTCCGCTGGATCACTATCCCAGGTTGTATCTTCGCTGCCTACATTATGTAAGTTTTTGTCGAAATATACATCCCCCACTCATACACGAATCTAACAATCCATCTAGCATCGGTCTCTCAGCCATTGGCCGCGAAATTGAAAACCCCTTCGGACACGACGTCAACGATCTACCCCTCGAGGCCTACTGTGAAGAGCTCGAGATGGACATTGACACCATCACCGCCCAGCCCGCTCCTACCGCCCGTGAGTTCATGCGTCGCGACGGTAACATGCCCATCTGGCCCCTCAGCCAAAAGAACTACACGTCCTGGGCCGGAAGGAGTAAGCAGGATATCCGTGATGCGTTGATGACCAAGACCAAGGCGGATATGGCTATCAGGAAGAGCTTTGCTGTTCCGAGGGAGAGCGAGAGTGAGGAAAAGGAACATCATGGATTGCAACAACAGCATGATGCGTAGTTGGTGAGATTGTTACTGGAACTTTTTAGAAGCGTCAGGCGCTAGACAGGTGTTTATGGGTGTGACATTTTTACCTTTCCACCCAAGGTGTGATTTTTTACTTTTACTACCAAAAGGGGTTATATCCCACATAGCGAGGGGTCTTTTACGTGGCAATACTAGCCTTTATTATACTGCATCTTCGGTGTCATTCAAGTGTTTTGTGCTGCACTAAGTGTTTATGCGAACATAGAGGGTTGAGTGTACCCAAATCTGCATATTTGCATGTTGGTCCTAACAAATCATGTGTAGGATGACCTTGAAGTGTGCGTGTATATGCGAACACGGCGTGGTTTACAGCCAGATGAAGTCGAAAAGTAGCATGTTACATGCCTTGAAGGTTTGATTATCAAGATATCCGATTGTGTCGCTGCGCATCGTACATAGACGAGCAATGCAGCGGTAGCCCTGTGTAGCCCAAGAATGAAAATAGTTTCGCCGCTGCCCTTGTGTTGTGTAAGCCACGGTTCCGCAGCTCCCGAAGTCGTCAGGTGTCTGTTGTAAGCCAAGATGAATGAGGAAAACTTGGCTCTATCTAGAACGAGTAGACTGTCTAGAGAGGGCCGAAGAGACTGTGGTGTCAGCAAAAAGCTGTCTATGACATCTTCGGTCATAATAGTTTGTCCATCTGGTACCCTAAAGTCATTGCCGCTGGACCGTTCTATCTGACCAAGTGTTGATCGTTCGTACATCGAATGTGAGTATGAGCAAGCTGACGAGCTGTTTGCAGCGTGGATGAAATGCCATTCCTCCAGTTGGTGTAGAGAACATGTACCATAGCTTTAAACACAACAAAAATGAAGTTTGATCCCATGTATGAGACTTGGGACTTGTGCGTACGTACTGTGATGTTGATGTCGCGATACTGACGATGATGGAAACTGAAGCGACCCTACCAGGCTAGCGCTTTGAGGCGCTTAGGCAAATGACGTCGCACCTGCCCTACACCCTACATCTGACGCTTGAACTACTGCTCACATGCAGGCCCAGGCGATCATTCATCCAAACGGCCCGTCTACATCAGGCGGAACTAATGCACCCCTCAGACTCTACGGTTCTGATATGCCTAGACCTACTGATTTCTGGCGTGCTGCCTTTCACCCTTTATAGCTGAGCTGAGCCTGTCAAACCTCAATTCCCCCAATGTCAGCAGTCACAATGTCGGACCCGCCAACGGAGCCCGCGCCTCTACAGAATATGACAACAGATGTCCCTACCATCGTCGAACCAGATGTAGACGCAGAAGAACGCGGCCGACTCAAGCGACGTAGGCAGTCGTCACAACACTCTCCACGCCGTGCATCCTCACCATCTCGTGGCCACGATCGCCGCAGCGGCTCCCGATACAGAGAGCATCACCGCAAACACCACCGACCTTCGTCTCCGACGTCTTCTATCTCTCCGCCGACATCCGCTCAGAAGAAGACTAGAAGGCGCAGTGATGCCGAGCCGGATCATACATTCCGGGGGCGGGCTCGCAACAGAAGCGGTAGCAGAGGAAGGACTAGGAGTCCATTGTTAGAAGCCGATGATGCTTGCGTCGAAAGCGACGAAGATGAAAGGAGATTCCGAAAGAGAAGTGCACCGCCCAGTCGGCACAGGGGTGAAGAGACGGATGAGGGTGGTGCGGTTCGGCGACAGAGAAGTTATCCGAACCTCTATAGGGAAGACAGGAGAGACTCCAAGGGCGAAGGCGAAGGCGAAGGAAAGACGCACGCAGTGGACATTGTGAACTTGACAGAAGCAAGCGCGGCGGTGCCCCACTTGACGGACTAGCGACTTTGATATGTTTGGCCTGTGTGTTGGAGAAATGCGGCGATTGGGATAAGTTTACTATGGTAGTGTAGTCTATGTCAACTCTTAGTGTCTAGGATTGTAGTGTATAATTTTGACTGGTAGTTATCCTCCACGTCGCGACTGACCACGGCACGCGACAGATGTTCTCGTGTCCCACCAAGGTGACGATGGCGTGGCTGTGCGCGTGTTTACACCAAAGTGTACGTGGCGCATACAGCACATGGCGATGCAGTGCTGGAAGCTCTTCGATATTGCAACAACTGATCAGGGCCTTGTCTGCAGGTAGCGATGGCATCCGAAGACTCCGGACTGCTCACATCAGCATCGTCGTCGCCGTCTCGAAGCTTCCATACCGAGGCGCAACAAAACCGCCCCACCCCCGCGGCGCTACCAATCATTGAAGCTTAAGTCCGCCATCACTTCCGTTGACTAACCTGCAGCCTCACCCCCTCTATCGCCTGGTCACTGACCCCGTTATGCCTCCGCCAGGCAACGAATATGCCGCCGAGCAGCTTAAGAACTCCGGCAACAAGTGCTTCAAGAATGGCGACTATGAAGAAGCTGAGGCGCTGTACTCGCAGGCCATCCAGAAGAACTCAGCGAACCCTCTGTTGTTCACGAATCGCGCGAATGCGAGGCTGAAGCTGGAGAAGTGGGAAGGTGTGATTGATGACTGCATACGGAGCATCGAGTTGTTGAAGGACAACATGAAGGCCTTCTTCTATCTCGGTATGCTTTCACCCTCTGCGCAGACGCGCCAAGCACTGCAACAGCACATTCAAGGCTAACAACAGTGCAGCACAAGCCCAACTCGCCATAAATCACCCCAACGAAGCTCTTTCCTCAAGTCTCATGGCCTACGAACTATGTACCACTTCGGCGCAACAAACCTCAAACGCAGCCACCATATCTGCCCTCGTTCTGAAATGCAAGAAAGCTAAATGGGATATCCGCGAACGAGAACGGATACGGCGGCGCGGCGATCTCCTCTCCGACCTTGAATCGATGCTAGAGACACAATTCAAAAAGGACATGGATGACATCGAAGCACGCATGGAGGCTGGGGAAACTAGTCGATCAGACGGGCAGGAAGAGAAAGCAGAGCGCAAGACGGAATTCGAGAAGAAGCGCGATGATCTACGGACCGCCTTTGCTATATCAGATCCGGAACATCAGCAGAAACGCGAAGTACCAGATTACCTCGTTGATGGCATAACATTTGAGATTATGCATGATCCCGTTGTTACCAAGAACGGCAGATCGTATGAGCGCGCTACGCTGATTGAGCATCTCAAACGGAGTCCTACAGACCCGCTGACGAGAGAGACACTTACGATTGGTGATCTGAGACCAAACATAGCACTCAAGGAGGCTTGTGAGGAGTTCATGACAGCCAACTCGGGATGGGTTTATGATTGGTAGGTTTGCGAGACTTCATTGGTCCGCGTGTATTGTGGTAGGTATGTCGAGTGGAGGGATCTAGAGTGCAGGGCGTAGAATATGTGCGCTGACAGCATCTTAGTGAGGATGGTGAGGTAGATCCCGATGCGCGATGGGCGCACCTATCTTCAACTTGAGATCTAACCCCAACCTAAGTGTCTGAAAGAGATTTATAATATCTGCACCGGATGGCGTTTGTTGGATATCCTATCGTTATGCTTGCACACTTGTCAGCGATGGTCGTAGTTCTATACCCACAGCTACTCAGAATCTCTTTCTTCTCTGTTCTCCTTTCTCGAAGACAAGCTCGTATTGTGGCGCAAGACAGCGCCCGCATGGTTCTTGCGGCTTCCCCACAAAGGAAACTTTTTCGGCATGTCAATCTAATGACGCTTTTGGAAGTTTACACTTTTGAAACATCTAGCGCTCAGACATCCACATCGGCTAGTCGATCATTCGGTCCTGCCTTGCTTACGTACGCACTATATTGGCCTATAAAGCCCCACACTACTGTATGACTACCCCAGTAGTCTGTAGTGAGCGGAGTGAAGTCTAGGGAGATGTTCCGAGTGGTCACCATAGCTATACTAGATTGAGATCTAACCCAAGTCGAGAAGCCGAAGCTTCACCACGTATCCTAGGAAAGCCTTGTTAGGCAACAAAGTCATCGCGGTTACGCGGTCATACATGCAGGTGTTATACAATGTTGCGACTAGTGTCAGACGTGGAATGATGGGGTAAGATTATATGATGTGAGCCCAGGTATCCAAGACCTTCTATCCTGCCCATCATATAGTTTTACTGTATCCTTCTCCGGTTTTGTCTCTTCTGATACTCCAACAACTCATCATGAATGCACCACGCCTTACTCCTTGGTCGCCGCCTATCAATGAACTCCTTCCGCATACGTTATTTAGGCTTGCGGCTCAGAACCCTTCCGCTACATACGTAGAATTCCCCAACGACCCGAACAGGATTGAAGACGGGTATCGTAAAATCGCTTTCGCCGAAGTAGCCAATGCCGTTCATGCAATAGCATGGTGGATCGAAGAAAATGTCGGGAAGTTGAGCGAAGAAGAGAAGACTGGTGAACAGACGTTGGTGTACATGGGGCCGAATGATATACGTTATGCAGTGCTTTGCCTAGGAAGTGTGATTGCAGGTTACAAGGTAGGCTTCCCTTGAACGTTGAAGACTAGGGAGTGGACTCAACTGACCATGACAAAAGATGCTCTTCCCTTCGCCACGTTATGGAGCTGAAGCACTGGTGAAACTGATAGAGAGCGTGGATGCGGAAGTCATGCTAACACCGGAGGTACCAATACCAGTCGTAGAAGGAGTCCTATCGAAGAGATCCATGAAGACACTCCAGATACCAGGTGTAGAGCAGCTTCTCAAGTCGGCCGCAGAACCATATCCATACAACAAGACGTTTCAAGAGCATAGCAAAGAACCATTGATCTGCCTTCGTACGTATACACGTTGTCGTCCTGATCTTCCAGATCCTAACCCCACATTTCAGATACATCTGGTACGACCGGCTTCCCGAAACCCATACTCTGGACCCATGAGTGGGCAAACAGCGCAGGACGAAGCATGAACCTTGACGCACCCCCAGGCTATGACCTGCAGGAAGAGCTTCTTTACAGTAGGAAAGAAGGGAGAGGCAGGCGAATAATGCTCCTTTTCCCTCCATTTCATGCTAGTGGCGTGATCGGAATGGTCCTGTTTCCCCTGACAATCGGTGGGACGGTAATCTATCCACCAACATGGACGACGCCCGAAGCGGGCGTGGAAGGCGCTCTGAAGGCGCTAGACGTTATTGCCGCACGAGACGGAGGCGTGGCGACAGACTGTGTGGCACTAGTGCCTCCCTTGTTCGAGTATCTGGGCAAGAGTCCAGAGGCCATACGTAGGATAAGCCAGAGAACACGACAAGTAGGTTGGGGTGGCGGTAGCGTGAGTCGAGCCGCAGGAGAATCCGTGGCAGCGCAAATGTCCATTTTGAACTCCATGGCGTCAACGGAACTTAGTATCTGGCCCACTATTCGTCCAAGCGGTACTGATCTATCGCAAACCGCATATTGGGAGTACACCACCTTCCACCCAGCCTCCAATATCCGGTTTGACCCTGTTTCCACATCTACAGACGGCACCACACTATACGAAGCCGTTATGATCCGGAATAATGGAACAGAGCATGATGGCTATGTCCAACCCATCTTCTCAATCTTCCCAGATGCAAAAGAGCGACGACTCGGGGATTTGTTCACGCAACATCCCCGAAACCCAGAGCAATGGAAACACTATGGCCGTGCGGATGATCTTCTGGTTTTTCTCACGAATGAAAAGTTCTTTCCAACGGCGGCGGAACAGAGAATTGCGAGCCACTCTGGTGTCGCGGAGGTGGTGATGGTGGGTACAAGGAGGCCGGTAGCTTCATTGATTATGAGGCTGGAAGATGGCGTGCAGGTGAGTGGTATCTGGAGTGTGGTGGAAGATGTAAACAAAGACTCGCCTGTGTATGCACGCGTGGGCAGAGAGATGATACTAGTCGTGGAAGAACCGTTCCCAAAGACGGCTAAAGGGACAGTGCAGAAGAAGGCTTTGTTGGAAATGTATGAAAAGGAGTTGGATGCTTTGTATGCAGGTAGTAGCTAAGCGCTCCGAGTATGCTAATCTATTCTTACGCGTTTCCGCTCAACTGCTGCTTCCATCCCGCTGGACACGTACCAGTACATGCCAATCCACTGTCGCTGTTCATGTTTGAACACAGTATCTTCGCAGTGCCTCCATTCTTAGGCTTGCTAGATGTGGGCGTACAACGTCAGTGTATGTCTCATATGCAGTTCGTACAGGCACACTTACATATCAATGTTCTTAAACTTCAGACCCGTGCAAGGTACTCCGCGACTGCAATAAATCGCTGCAGCCACGTTGTATCTTGAAGTGCCTGTGATGTTCTCCCACGTAATGTCGCTAATCTTTAACCGACTCGAGTCGCAGTTTTGGTAACTGTAAATACAAGGCGAGACGTAGATGGGTTGATTAACGTCTTGAAACTTGATATTACGGAAGGTGACGTTTTTGACATGGCCTTGACCGGGATACGTCTTGATCCAAGCTGCGTTGGAACTATGAATTGCAGTAATGTCTTCGAAAAGTACATTGTCAACCGTCTCAGGAACGTTAGTAGGGTTTCCCATTGATCCGATGACCATGGCACCGGACTCGTAACAGGTTGCGTTTTTGACGTAAATGTTCTTGCTGTTACCTTTGACCGATATGCAATCCTTTGGAGATATTAGAACTACAACGGAGGAGAGGAGCATCAAGGCTTACATCGCCGCATGTCACAACCCAATTTTTGAGCACTATGTCTTGTGAGTTCCAGCTATCGAAGCCATCGGTGTTGACAGTGCCCCATTGTGAAGACGAAGTGGCGTTCATGTCGAGGTTTGTCATGGTGACGTTCTGCGAGTAGGCGACAAACGTGTGCCTGCTCTGTCAGCAATATGTTCATGTGCAGAATGGTACTTGTTGCTATCTTGTTGCAAACGTACCAGAATTGTGACTGTCTCCAAGTGATTCCATCAATCCATACATTCTTCGCTTGCCAGAGTGTCAAGCTGATCGGCCGACCAGCCATATTGCTTCCATCACGATTTGCGTCATACCACTTCTGCCCGTTGCCAAAGAAAAGCGCTTCGCCGTGTCCCTGTAGAGTGAAGTTCTCGCCCCCTAGGCGGAACGCTGTACTTCGCTGAGCATACGTCACGCCTACACTATTCTTGACCCAATATTGAATATCATCGCTCCAGGTCAGTTTGCCGCGAATAGAGATGTCGCAGTTCTTCAGGTTCAAGACGTCCATTACTTTGGCGATGGTATAGTCACCTTTTGTGACTTCGATCTGACCGTTTTGTCCGCATTGCTTGAAGGCGTCCATCATGTAAGGACTATCATCCTTGGAACCGGACGGGGTAACTGTACAAAGGGAGCCAGTTTTGGTCATCCCAGCCAGCGCTGGGACGATAAGAAAACATAGATGGAGAAATTTGAGCTGAAGCATTCTGTCAATTCTAGAGAGATTCCTGTATGTCAAAGAGCAGAGGAGAATAGCTAAGATGGTCAAGCTTTATGAATGCTTGTTTTGTGGGACCATGGCTCCCCGCAAGCACGTAGGATCATGGTTTAACGTCTATACGCCTGCAGTGAACTGACTAGTCTTTACACACGGTTTGGGAAATGCGATCGGTGCAATATTCTTGAGAGTCGTAGTTTCTCCATATGAGTAGGTGTAACACCACCGGGTCTTGTTCGGCTCTTGAGCTACGGGTAATCTAATAGATGAGGAGGCCAGGGTGATGCTGTGGGGAACGAGTGACTGCTTCAAGAGAAATTGGTAGCAAAGTGGCCATGTGACGAGATGGTCTTGGAAGGAGAAGATATGGGTGGTTGCCAAGCCCACGTCATTGGTGGTTTCCGAACTTCCTTTGACGGGTCCAACTCGGCATCTTCATCTCGACAAGGCGATTGCGCAGCCATTGAGCGTCGCATGGGCTGCCTATTACGCTCTTTACCATGAACACCGCCGCCCACATCCGTGCCTTGCGCGTGCGGCCCTCGATACCACGCTGCCGCCCCTCTCACCGCGCGTTGCAGCACCCCACAAGACGTGTCACGACAGCCACCGAGGCCGCGACCAACGTTCGATCGACGGGCACTCGCACCAAGAACCTCGTGTACGGTACCCTTCTGGCGCTCGGTGGTACGTTTGGCTACCTATACGCCACCGACACGCGCGCAAGCATCCACGAATGGCTCGTTGTGCCAGCACTACGCCTGATATACCCAGATGGAGAGGAGGCGCACCACGCTGGAACGCACATGCTCAAGGTGCTGCATAGCTTCGGCTTGAACCCCAGAGAACGTGGCGTGGCTGATTCACGGGGCGATCTGGCTGTCGAGGTCTTTGGACACACACTGAACAACCCGATTGGAACATCTGCCGGCATCGACAAGGGCGCCGAGGTACCAACACCGCTATTCGAACTTGGAGCGGGAGTAGTAGAGGTCGGCGCTGTTACACTACTGCCGCAAGAAGGCAACCCAAAACCACGCGTCTTCAGGATCCCCAGCCAGAACGCGCTCATCAACCGCTATGGATTCAATTCCGAAGGCGCCGAGCTGGTTGCTTCGAGGTTACGACAACGTGTCAGGGAGTTTGCCTACCACGCCGGGCTTGGACTAGATGACGACGCAGAGCGCCGGGTCCTCGACGGCGAAGCCGGTGTTCCACCTGGTTCGCTGCTCAAGGGACGTCTCATGGCTGTCCAGGTTGCGAAGAACAAGACGACCTCCGAAAACGATATCGATGCTGTAGTGCGCGACTACGCGACTGCCGTGGGCCATGTCGGAAAGTACGCTGATATTCTCGTCGTCAATGTCTCCTCACCTAACACGCCCGGCCTTCGCACTCTCCAGAACGTCGAGCCCTTGACACGACTACTCTCTGGAGTTGTAGGAGCAGTCAAGAAAATCGATCGCAAGACAAAGCCTGTTGTCATGGTGAAAGTCAGCCCAGATGAGGACACAGAAGAGCAGGTATCTGGCATCTGCGAGGCCGTCTGGGACTCGGGTGTCGACGGCGTCATCGTTGGTAACACAACGAAGAAGCGACCAGACCCCCTGCCCAAGGGCTACTTGCTTCCTGAATCAGAGGCAAAGCTGCTTCTCGAGCAAGGCGGATACTCGGGACCACAAACCTTCGAGCGCACACTTGCCCTGGTCAGCAGGTACAGAAAAGCACTCGACGAAGGCCCCAAGCATGTCGCACCGCCATCTGACGCCTCATCCACCTCTACCGGTTCCTCAATGACCAAGCCAACGCTCGACCTTGACCAACCGGCCCCAACAGACCTCTCCTCCAACGTCGACGACCTTTCTGAATCGGCACCTACCATGACCCTCCATTCTACACCCAAGACTGCACCTGCACCAAACGCACCACGCAAGGTCATATTCGCCACGGGCGGCATCACAAACGGACGCCAAGCAAGAGAGATTCTCGATGCTGGAGCGAGTGTGGCACAGGTATATACTGCCATGATCTATGGCGGTGCTGGCACAATCAGCAGGATCAAGCAGGAGATGAGGGATGACGCAAAGGAGCAAAAGACAATAACGAAGCGGTAGCCAATAGATGAGAGTAGGTAGAGGATTCTATGTTCAAATATTGACTTTGACAGATATGTTTCAGGTGTATGGATAACAGTAGATCTACCAAAACCACGTCTCTCCGAACAAGCGTACACGGAAGACAAGTCCCCTCTGTCATGTGTTTTTGCGTCAATTTTATCCTTCAATACGAGGGTATCACTGATTGGTCCTCAGCAGCTACTCGTGAGGCATGTATCCTCTATATACAAGCTGTATGTAAGATGTTTGCAGACTTTATACATCGAACCTTATGTATGTTGCATAGCTTTCGCTCGCAATCAGAACAAACACCATTGCGCCACCCACGGAAACAGAATTTCCTACCTGTAGCAAGACCGACCTAGCTCTAAACGGACACGCTGAGAATGCGCGGCATCGTCGGGCTTGCTCAACCAACGCCGTATAGCCCCTATACGCAACGAGCTACCCCAAGTGGGCCTTTGCGAGCTCGTGCCTCCTTGCAGAAGAGAATTGAAAACAAAATTACTTTTCGATACCACCAGAAACAGTATTCCAATACCTGATCGCGACTCATCGCGCGGAAAATTGCGCGAGAAGAATCTTATCCATACTGTACTTTCTAATGATCAAGCTGACGACTAGGGCGCTAGCGGAAACAGCTGTGGTCATGATGAAGACCGAATCGAAACCTTTCATATACGACGATAAGATGGCACTCTTCTGGGGAGAATCGGCCATAGTACGTAGGACGAAGATATATTGCTCGGAGTCGTGAGCGATCGATGTAGGCAGACCAAGCTCAGAAAGTTTGTCTGACATTGAGTTCGAGAAAATGGTTCCTGCGAGCTTGGATGAGTCAGCATCGTGTAGGGGAGTCAGCTGACGGCTGAACTTACGGCAACACCGAGCGGCATTCCTAGACTTCGGAGAAAGCCGTACATACTTGCGGCCATCGCCGCGTCTTCCGGCTTGGAAATAGCCTGGATGCCAACATTGAGGCTTGTAAGTACCATGCCCATGCCAATACCAAGGACGGCAAGGAACACTGAGGTAATCACAGTTGTCGAATCCACATCGAGAAGGATTTGCAATCCGCAAGCAAGCGTAGTGATGACCCAACCACCCCAGATTGCCCATCGAAATCGTCCTAGGCGCGACGTCAAAACTGAAACTGCGACAGAACTAGGCACTGTGAGGAGGCAGACAGGCAGCATATCAACACCTGCTTGAGTTGGATATCTGCCCCGAACACTCATGTCGTAAAACGGCCAGTAGTATAATGTGGTGAAGAGCTTGATACGTCAGTATGTGTCTGGGTAACAATTAGATATGAACTTACGAGCAGGCCGTTGATCAGCGAGTTGTAGAAAGCGGCAATCGCGCTCCAGCTGCCAAAAACTGCCAGCGGCAACAGGGTGTGCTCCTTCCTGTAAACCTGCCATAAGAAGAACAGAGCAATCCCTACCAGTCCCGCAATGATGGGCGCAAGTGTTGCAGCTGAGTCCCACGGATGTTGAATACCGCCCCAAGATATTCCAATGAGCAAGCTTGTCATGCTGCCAATGAAGAGCATCGCACCCAGCCAGTCAACTCGCTTGAGTTTCTCCTGAAACGTGAGCTTCGACGTTGCATCGAGGTGGACGAAGAAGATTGCTACAATGAAGCCGATTCCACAAAACGGGTAATTGATGTGAAATGCCCATCGCCAAGTGGTGCTTTCGACAAGTTTACCACCAACTACTGGACCGACGATCGATCCAATACTCCAGCAACCAAGAACCATGGAGAAGTACTTCGGGCGCTGTCTCAAGGGAACAATGTCGCAAAAGATAACTTGCGTCAACGTTATGATTCCGCCGCCGCCGATTCCTTGGATGCATCTCCCTCCGAGCAACGTAGTGAAGTTGTCCGCGACGGAACATAGGATGGTACCTGTCGTGAAGAAAAGTAGCGAGGTGATGAGAAGTTGTTGACGACCAAAGACAGCGGAGACTGATGCAATGACTGGTTGAAAGATGGCCGAGGTGAGTAGATACGACGTTCCTGTCCAGAAAGCTTCAGCAGCGGTACCGTTCAGCTTCTGGGCAATTACCTATACATTATTAGCACATCTTGAAAAGGGAGAAGGATAGAGTTTTCAACTGACAGGTAATACCGTGACCAGGATTGTAGCATCCAGCGCCACCATCAACGATATGAAGCTCAAGCTGACCATGATGAGCAGCTCTTTCTTTTGCGGTTTCCACATATCAGGCGTCTGCATCTCGCCCTTCGCTTCGATGTTGCTTTCAGACATATTGCCAGCTACCAAGAATGTGTTGCCAGGTACTGGACGCGTGTTGTACGAGAATGCAGGCTTTTCGAGCGAGTCTGATCCGCTGTCAACATCTATTGCACAATTAGTAGAGGACTCTGTTGTAAGTTTACGCTCTCTGTGAAATATATGCCAAAGCTGCTAAGAACTGGACACAGGTAAACTCCAAATTTATGGCCACTGATTTCAGCCAACATCGCTTCGGTTATACGGTCCGCATAACATAGCTGTACAGGATATGTTACTGTGACATGCGGCTGGACTGCGTGGCATGGATGTAAGACATGCTTACCTCTAGTAAAGCCGGTGGGGCTGTATCCAAATGCACTGGGCTGCTCGCTGTATTCATCGGTAGGAGTACTGCATAATGACTCCCAATTCTTGTCGGCCTCATTGTGATGGGTTGTGACTGTCCTGATCATCCTTGGGGGCGAGATGAACGAGCGAGTACTGGTCAAAGGAATGCTTGGCGTGGAGACAGGATGGGTACAACAGTATCGTCGGAGCTAATTAGACAACAGCGGTGTGTGTGTCGACCTAGCTACCGACATTGACCTTCAGCTGACGGATTGAAGTACGGCGAACGCCCCCCTTCTTCTACGGATGAGGCTCATCCCGAAAGTTATAGATCCCGTGGATTGAGGTTGCTGCTTAGGGCATTGACCGTTTCATACAAAGAACGAGCGCGCACTTGGCTAAGCTATCCTAGCTATCCGCAAAGAAAAGCAACTGCACTCGGTTAAGGTAGCCGTGGCGCATCTCAACTTGGTTGCGTTTGTTGATCTGAGGATTGTTGTCACCGATCAGCTGCATCTGGCATTTAGATCACCACCTGCTCTTGGTTGAATCGAGGCCAATGTATACAAAAATAACCGCTAAAACGGCTCGGGTGACATCAGGACAGCTAATGTAATCTGCATACACGGAAACCGCCT